GTTCAACCGGCGGCTGGCCCACCCCCTCCTCCCAGCCAGGTTACCCGGTCAACTGTCAACAAGAGGAGTCTGAGAAGTGCCTGGCTGCTGGGATTGCTTCTAAACTGGGTTTCCCCCCCCCCAGCTCAACTGTGCAATTGCTGCATGGCCCTCTTCTTGTAAAAGCTCGTTTCTAAAACCAAATTCATGGGTGTCACCTAAAAATGTCTTTCAGTTCCTCTCCCACTGCTGGAATATACAGGTGAAAAAGGCAGTTTTAAACATGCTTGTAGCCAGACTGTGAATTTACTGGTCGCTATCCAGGAAGCTGATTGTCAGTCGTATTTAAACCTTTCCCAGATACTTCTGCTTTTTAAAAAACAAAACACTCTAAATTGTGACCTCGTTCTTCCTGGAGACCAAGACACCCTATGAGGAAAGGCTGAGGGACTTGGGCATGTCCAGTCTGGAGAAGAGGAGGGTGGGTGGGGGGAGACATGATTGCTCTCTTGAAGTATCTGGAGGGCTGTCACTTCGAGGAGGGCAGGGAGCTGTTCCTGTTGGCAGCAGAAGAGAGGACTCGCAAGAATGGGTTTAAATTAAGGGTGGGAAGGTACCGGCTGGATATCAGAAGAAACTTTTTGACAGAGTTCTGCAGCAGTGGCAGCTAGGCTGGGGGGGGGTGACTCCCCCCCCCCCCCCCGGTAGTCTTTAAGTCGCAGAAGCCAAAAATGAGAGATCACGGGAGGAGGTGGAAATCCAAACACAACATCCATACAAAAATAACGAAGGGCCAATAAAGATATGTATGCAAAATCATTTATTGTAGTAATTCTGTAAAAATCTCTCCTGTTATCGCTCACACACAACAGATACTGCGCAATATAAAAAAATCCATTTCACAAGAATTGTGAGGACCTTGAAGGGTTCTGTTATTAGAGAGTCAACACGGGATGTTTCCTTCAAGAGTTGATAAGTAGACATTGATAAGAATTGTGATTGCTACATGCTCAGATAAAGCAATTCTTGTGAAATGGATTTTTTCAGGGCTTTTTTTGTAGAAAAAGCCCAGCAGGAACTCATTAGCATATTAGGCCACACCCCTGAGAGCACAGCTCATTAGCACATTAGGCCGCACCCCCATGTTACCAGAAGTGTGGTCATCCAGCCACACCCACCTTTTGCTTGTTATTCTGTTTACCTTATTGGTTGTCAAAACCCAGGGCCTTTTTTTGTAGCAGGAACTCCTTTGCATGTTAGGCCACACACTCCCAATGTAGCCAATCCTAATGAGTTTCTGCTGTTGAGTGTGGCCTATTATGCTAATGAGTTCCTGCTGGGCGTGGACAACTTGGGAGCCAGTCGGAACTCCGTTCCTGTGCGTTCCTGCCCAAAAATAGCCCTGGATTTTTTTATATTGCACAGTATCCATTGCGTGTGAGCAATAATAGAAGACAGTTTTCTACAGAATTACTACAGTAAATGATTTTGCATACATATCTTTATTGACTCTTCATTATTTTTGTCACAGATGATGGGTTTGGATTTCCAGTCTTTAAACAGTGGCAGGGATACTCTAAGCTGATCCTGCATTCAGCAGGGGGTTGGACTAGATGGCCCCTTTCAACTCTGTGATTTTATGATTCTGTAAACTGGTTAATACTTCCACTTGTCCTGTGGTTGAGTAGTTTTTCTCCTATTTCTCACACCAGCTATGCAAAAAGGATGCAGTTCAAGAAACTCTAATGCTGTAAAACTTGATACAGGATAGTATTTTGGATTGATCTTTTGCAGATGACATGAAGTAGATTGCCACAGGGCTCGGTCCTAGGCGCAATGTTTTTATAAATGACCTGGAGGAAGACATAGAGGGGATGCTCTTCAAATTTGCAGATGACACAAAGCTGGGTAGGATTGCTAATTCTGAAGAAGACAGAGTCAGGATTCAAAATGATCTGGATAGGCTGGAACAGTGGCCTGAGACAAATAAAATGAATTTCAATACAGATAAGTGCAAAGTCTTACACTTAGGTACAAAAAACCCAAAGGCACAGATATAGAATGGGAGGGACTTGGCTTGACAGTAGCACATGAGAAAGGGATCTAGATGTTCTGGTTGATCACAAGCTAAACATGAGCCTGCAGTGCGATGTGACTGCGAAGAAAGCTAATGCAATCTTAGGATGCATTAACAGAAGCATTGTGTCCAGATCAGGGGAGGTGGTAGTTCCGCTCTATTCTGCTATGGTCAGGCCTCACCTGGAGTCCTGTGTCCAGTTTTGGGCACCACATTTTAGGAAGGATGTTGACAAGCTCGAGCGTGTCCAGAAGAGGGCAACCAGGATGGTGAGAGGGTTGGAATCCAAGTCTTATGAGGAAAGGCTGAAAGAGTTGGGTATGTTTAGCCTGGGAAAGAGAAGGCTTAGAGGGGACGTGATTGCAGTCTTCAAGTATATGAACGGCTGTCATGTAGAAGATGAAGTGGATCTATTCTCTCTTGCTCCGGATTGCAAGACTAGATTGAATGGGTGGAAATTACCAGGGAGTCGTTACCGGCTAAATATCAGGAGAAACTTCCTAACTGTAAGCAGTGGAACAGACTGCCTCAGGAGGTAGTGGATGCTCCTTTGCTGGACGTTTTCAAGCGGAGGCTGGACGGCCATCTTTCAGGTATGTTGTAGGTATGTAGGGCTATCTTTCAGCTATGCTCCTGCAGAGTGCAGGGGGTTGGACTAGATGACCTGCAAGGTCCCTTCTAACTCTAACATTTTATGATTCTATGACTACAGATGTCAAAGTAATTTTGAAATCGATTAGCCTAAAATGTTCTGGGAATAAATCTGCAAGAAGGGTCCATTTTAAATACCCCCACCCCAAAGTAGAATCTTGCTCACAGGACCAGCCTTAGAAAGATTTACAAGAAAAATAATTTTCACCTAAATGTTGTCATATGTATGGAGCCCTGGGATCAAATTCAAATAGCTGTGTCCTCAGCACCAAATGTGACTTTGGAAGCCAATACTTACAACATACTTAAGTATATTGGCTGCCCCTTCCAGACCAGCGTGTGCCAGTAAACGCCCACGCCTAGTCCTCTTTGTTGTATAGACGGTTTCCTGGATCTGCTTCTGCACTAATGATCCTTAAGGACATGCCCCTAGGAGACGCATGTGGACCCCAAAGTGATCGGATACGCTATATTATTTTCAAGCACAATCCCCAGGTTTCAGAGAAAAGGTGAGGAGAAAGTGCTTGCTCTTGGCTCATCCTCTCCTGATTCCCCTCTAAGGCAGGATGATTAATACACTTCAAGTCACGAGGGCAATTTATAGAGATCTAGTATCAGAGCTTAGTCCGAATAAGCAGCTTGACTTGGTAAATCTGCAAATCCTACACATACGCTGTGGCCAAGTCAGTAATGCCAGTCTGAGTCTTGGACAGCCGCACGGGTCGTTTCTTCTCGCCACGGAGAGAGTCTCAGTCCTTCTCAAGATCAACAATGATTGTAATTTGAAGTCTCTATTCAGTATGGCAAAAGGAGAAATTCTGGAGGCAGTTTACATTGCTGTAGCCCCGTCCAAGAAAACAAGCACACCCATGATCATCTGAATTCCCTGAAGCACCATTGCTGATTAACATCAGTCTGCCTAATAAACCAAACCCAGAAGAGTCCAGCAAAGGGTGGAAACTAGTAGTGGGGGTCACAGTCTTCGATTAAGCTGTCGGTGATGTAGCTGGCCTGGAGAACGTTTTCATAGTACATTTTTTCAGCAATTGTGTTGACTGTCCAAGCAACCACCTGGATTCCTTTGGCAGACCACTGTCTCACATACTCCCTGAAAGGGGGTGGGGGTGGGGGGGAGGAATGAAAAATGGGGTCAGTGGAGGATGAGTGCCGCCCCCCCCCCCCGGAATTTAAAAACAGCTTTAGTTTCAAACACTCTCAATGCAAATGGCGTGCCAGCTTTTCAGCCCGTAGGCAATAATCTTTCTTATCGGTATATTTCTGCTTGTTGGCAAAGTGCCAGACGTAAGGAATTCCCTGACGTCACCGTAAGGGCATCGTTATCGAATATGGTGTGGGGGTAGGTGGACAGTTGGACCAAAACACATCCTTGGTATAATTCCTAGTGTGTTTCTCAAAATCAAGGCCAGGTTAATTCTACAAGTCCAAAATATGGATTCTGGGAGGAAGAGGAGAATTTGGGGAGCATCCCTTGCTTAAACAAAGTAAGGCTCCATATCCATTCTGCTGTGTTCCTGTACCGATTTTGCCCAGTTTGGGGTCTGCTTGGCCTCTTCCCCCACTTCCAAACCTTTGAGAAGGACCATAAGTGGGGGCTGGGCTCCAGAGTACCTTGTGCTGCCAAACACTTACTGCGAAACGAAGTTTTTCTGCACCAGAAAAGCAGAAACTCCACAGAAGTGCCAGAGGAAATTGTGCATGCTCCAGTCCATGACGACGTCGAGGCCGAGAGTCAAGTAGTGTTTCCAGAAGGAGCTGAAGCGAGGTCTCCCGTCTCCCCAGTGACTCAAGCTCCAGGGTCTGTGAGTGAGCGCGGTCACAACATTCCGATCCGCTTGCCGCATCTGGAAGACCAAGCAAAGAAAGGGCAACAGATGCATTTTGGTACCAAAAAAAGCCGGTGACTTCTGAGGAGAGCTGCCAATGTGTTCTCAATTTCCAGCCTCTCTCTTGTGTTTCATTATCTTCATTTAAAGAACTTATAGAGAGATGACGTTTTGGCCTCAGGGCATACACCACGTTTGCTAGAACATGTTTTTTGTACCATGACCAGTGTTCCCTCTAAGCTGAGTGTGAGCTAGCTCACAATTTTTTAGCCTCTGGCTCACACATTTTTATCTCAGCTCAGGAAAGACGGCTCCAGAGCAAACTAATTTATGCAGAAGCCAACTCGCTCGCTCACAGCTTTAAGGCCAGCCGCTCACAAAGTAGAATTTTTGCTCACAAGACTCCACAGCTTAGAGGGAACATTGACCATGACCCTTAATACATGAGCTCTATTGAGGCATTATGTCAAACCAGAGTTAAAGGAACTTATCTATGGCCCCACTGATGGACCTCCTGATGGCACCTGGTATTTTTGGCCACTGTGTGACAGAGTGTTGGACTGGATGGGCCATTGGCCTGATCCAACACTGGCTTCTCTTCTGTTCTTATGTTCTAACTCAAAGGCATGTTTTATTACAGTTAGCTTATGAAAACAGGTTTAGGCTTGCAGACAATCAAACCGTAGTTTGCCTTGACATACCTTGCCTTTGCCTCCCGCAAGAGCCAGCTAACATCTTGGCTTGCATTGTAGTGCTGAGTAGGAAGCCAGGATTAAGCCAAGATTTTTGTGCGCGCGCACACACTTGTGGTTAATAAACCAGCATTAGAAGTATAGTTTCAGATCCTTGCTTGACGTACCTTAACTCACTGTAATCAGTACAGTGGCCTGCATTCACATGGTCCAATGTCTAAACCAACCAGGTGGCTTATCATAATGTTGGGATTTACAGTCCATCACTGGCAATCAGCTGACAAACCAGCATCAGAAGCCATGGTTCGTGCTGCCCGTGGGAATGACATGATGATTCTGACAAACCAGAGTTAGACTCACTGCTCCCACCGCAAGAGCTGCTGGACTGTGACGGTGGGAACGGATTTATAAAGCCGAGTGCTGAGAAGATACATTACAAAAAGCAGATCTGGCACTTTGCCCTGTTACATGTTTGGATGCTCAAGCCAAGGTTTGGATTCTACATGATGGTTAATTTTTATTTATTTGTTTGTTGGTTAAGATGCTGAACTGCAGGCTGTGGAAGGTCGGTAGTTCAGCAGTTTGAGACCCGAGTGTGCTGCATGACGGAGTGAGCTCCCGTCTCTAGTTCCAGCTCCTGCCAACCTAGCAGTTCGAAAGCAAGAAATTGCAAGTAGATAAATAGGGACAACTTCGGTGGGAAGGTAACAGCGTTCTGTGCGCCTTGGTGTTTAGTCATGCCGGCCACATGACCACGGGAACGTCTTCGGACAGCGCTGGCTCTTCGGCTTTGAAACGGAGATGAGCACCGCAACCCTAGAGTCAGACTCGACTGGCTTTCGAGCAAGGGAACCTTTACCTTTACCTTGTTTTGTAGCCCGCCCTCCCCACCAAGGCCATGGCTTAGCATGACATCTGAAATTAGCCACTGACCTGTAAGTACATCCCACTGACTTTAGCTGTGTGTCTCCCCATCTTTAAGAACGGCACTGACAAATAAAGCAGCAGGTTCAGGTTCAGCATTATACCAATTCAATTTAAAGATGAGGCGTTAACCCTGACTGGTGAGTCACTCCTTGCTGCTTGCTTTGACAGTCGTGGCATAGGGTGGGGTATAAATTAATTAAATAAATAATAGTTCAGATCACCAAATGGTTGTTTTGTGTGGCTGAGTGGTAGCAACAAACTGGAAACTCCAGAGTCCACACCCAGGTCAAAGTCCTAACAAAAAGCCATTAAATGGGGGCTGGAATTAAGAACAAGAAGAGACTGGACTTATATACCGCCCTTCACAACAGAAACAAAAGCTTTATGCCAAGTCCTGATGATCTAAACCCAGGAAGGATGGCACTGGCCCATCTGTTTCTTAGGTCTATGTCCTGCTAAGCCTTTCTTATATTCTGGTAACATAAAGAGTGGTAAGTACTGATGGGCACCACCAAATGGAACTTTACCTTGTAGACGACATCTGGCAAAAAAGAACAAACAATGCTAGTGTTGTACAGCCGAGGATATTCCAGGTAGAGTTGTTTTAGGGCTGCAACTGCCTGCAGGAGAACAGATTACATGAAAGTGCTGTGTACATGTACGCATATCGACAGAATTGGCCTAAAATAAGGTTGGCATCTTAAGAAATACTGGGCAAGAGCCAATGGATAAAGACACGCGTGCAGGCCAAGGGAGACAATGCAAGAATGCACACTATTTGGCACGCACCTGCTACGATTCGGAAGAGGCACATCTGACAGAGCTCAGGGGTAAAGGCTACTTTTTGCGTGCCGAAAGAGCCCAAAAGCTGCCCTGGGCTAGAGGAACCTGAGGCTTGGACACTGTATAAGGCAGCTTCCTGTGGCTTCTGGCCTTTCATGGCAGAGAGCTGTTGCAGAGGGAGGCTGTGACACATGGCTGTATAGGGCATCCAGCATTCTCAACAACATAACCAATTGGCTGTCACTAGCTACCCTACCCCACTCCTGCCACTCAGAAAAAACATGCTCCCCCCCCCCGCATTTTCCTTTATCACTAGCCTCTCAAACAGAGGAAAGGGGGCTTAGGTTATTGATGTTTGCGATTCCAGCAAGCCATAATGGCCAATGTGGGCCTACCAGATGTGATGTCACTGGCCCTATTCAAAGCTGGAAAAGAAACAGAGGCTGCGGTCACACGGAGCAGTAGCCATGCTACTGCGACGGAAGATAGGCGGATTTTCTGGGCGTGATCTCACCGCCACATCTGGGAAGCGTAGAGCTCCCGTGGCGAACCCGAGGCTTCCTTCCGAAGATACGTGGTTAAAAACTAGTACCTCGGAGGTACTAGTTTCCAAAAACTGCGGGGCAAAGGCGGGCGTCTGATCGCGTTTCCGGTGGCATCCGGCGCCCGCCCATGCCGCATTGCGAAAAGGTTCCCCCCCCCCGAAGTCTCCAGGGATGCGCACAAGCACCCAACGGGGCATGCGCATACTTCAGGTTAAAAAAACCCCCACAACCCCGTTTGCCGTGCCGCTTCTTTGGCGCGTCGTGTGATCGGCACCTCCCCCCTAACCACGGGACCTCGACGGGACGCCTGATTGCGCAGTGGTGCGTTATTTCGCTGAGGGGCAAACAGCCACGCCTCCCACCCGCGATATCCGGCCCGTGTGCCCGGGGCCAAAATTGGTTATCTTGGGTGTTTTTCTTGTGGTAAACCTCATTAACATTGTTTTGAGAGAGATATCCCTCTTGGAGCGGGTTGAGTGACAGAACTCCAGGATGTGTTTCCTCACAAGGAGATCAGAATTCAGCCTCTTGTAAGCAAGCAGTACCTGGTCTGCATGGCTCTTGACGTCAAAGTAAACGATGAGGTCATGATGCATGCTTTCCAAAACGGCTTCTTTCAGGGTTGGTATCTTTTCCCCACGGTAGTCTCTCCTAAAGGAACATAAGAACATAAGAGACGCCAATGTTGGATCAGGCCAAAGGCCCATCCAGTCCAACACTCTGTGTCACACAGTGGCCAGAAATACCAGGTGCCATCAGGAGGTCCACCAGTGGGGCCACTGGTGGACCTCCTGGAAAAGGGTGAAATGGTCATGGTGTGATTCTAGCAAGAAAAATTCAAAGTCTGTCCAGATTCCAGACTATCTTACCATGAAGCATCTATGGCCAAATTTCTGGATTTCATTTTGAAAAACAGAGAATGAAGGGACAACTAGATGGCCACGAAGTGACATCCTGCAGAAGAGGCTCCTAATCATCTTATTTTAACAGCTGCTTTCAGGTATCTTCTAGTCTGCTTATCTGCCAGGAATGAAACTTGGAAAAGTCTAGTATCCGAGTTGAGTGATTTAATTGTCCAGAGGAGTTGTTTTTCAGGCTCAATCAGCACAAACTGTTTAATATACGCTGGGCGGCGTCAACATCTGGCCAAGGGGGAAGAAAACCCTGTGAGGTAGAAGACAGCCCAAACTATCATAATCATAATTAACTGGAGAAGGTTATAAAGAGGCTTAAAGCCTTACTGAAATAGTCCACAGAGCTAATTATGGGGAAGAAAAAAAAGAAATGAGAAGATCAAGAAGGAATTTGGAGTCATACTCCCCCCCCCCAGTGACCTTTAGAAAATGACCTTTCTAAATGTTTCTCCCCTAACAAATACGAGGCTCTAGACCCAGACAGCGAACCGGTCTCCCAGTTATTTATAAATTGTCACCCCTGTGAAGCTGACGAACTTATAAGGGAGACTAGATCAGCAGCTTCAGATTGTGAGATGATACTCACAACCACCTTGTCCATCTCCCTCAAAGATGGAATACAATTGCCCTGAGACTAGGAGACATGAGGAAGACCCACAAAGAGATTTTCTGCTCAAGTATATAAGAGACCATTGTCCTTTTGCCAGTGAAACTGTTGCAACTATTTTTCAAGAATTAAAGCAGTACTGTTGATCAATTTGATCGCCTTAGGCAAAACCTCAATGCCTCAATATCAGAGACTCTGCCTAAAAGAAATCATAATCATAAACCTCCTGATATAGGAACACGAGATATACCGTTTCCCTCTGCAAGGGTAAGAAACAATGAGGAAGGTATACAGCTGGGTTGCAGATTGCAAAACCATCAAATCACATTATTTATCAAACACGATTTTGTAAACCGGGGATGTTGGGCAAATAAAAAGAACAATCCTCTAATCCCTGAGCCAACTCCTGCATGTAGACATATGTCATATTGACCCTGAGTAGAAATAATTTCAAATACACCTTTTGGGAACAGAGTTCTTTTAATTTTCAGGCAGCCAATAATTCCCTTGATGCTTTTGAAAACGAGATGGTTTTTATCTTCCTTTGGAATCTTCTCAACCAGAGTCTTAATTGATGAAACTGTCTGAACATTAATCCTAAGGACTATAAGTGGAAAACCTCCCACCTTAGGATATGAAAATGAACCTCCTCCTGAGATGTCAGGAAAAATAGTATATATCAGAGGTGTCGAACTCATTTGTCATGAGGGCTGGATCTGGCATAAATGTCACTTTGTTGGGCCGGGCCACGTGTGCCATAAAACGTAATGCCAGGTACCGGAGATAGAAACTGTATAAAGGACAGCAGATGGTAAGCTCCGAGTTGGTGTATCCTCACAGCAAGGTCCCATGGGCTGGGAGGGGGATGCAGAGGAAAACGCACATAGGCAGACTGGGGGGGGCAGCAGTGCAGCACTGAGCAGAACCTTCCACACTGCCTGACTGCTGCAAATGAGGTTGTTCTGCTGTGCTGAAGCCACAATGGAGTTGCTCCCCCCACTCCCCCCAGCACTCCCTCCCTTACACCACTGAGATAGGATGTGACTGGAAGAAAAAAATTAGGGCCCCAATCCTTCCATGCAAATCTGTGAGAGTAGATGTTCCTGGCTTCTGTGGGACTTGCATTCACGTATACACAGACACAGTTATATGGAGGCCAAGAGAAAAGGCTTATTTCACCGACTGGAAATACTGCATTTCCAGAAATGTCACAGAAATGGCTCACTTACCATAATCTGTGTTTAGCAGCTGGATTAAATTTTCTGACCTCAGCAAAGGTCAAGTCACGTAAGCTTCCAGACCCATCCGTGGTCCTGTCAACTGTTTCATCATGCATCAGAATAGGAACACCATCGGCCGTGAATTCGAGGTCCAGTTCCACACCAGTTGCTCCATTCTCAGCTGCCTTAAACAAACAAAGACAAACCACCATAAACAAGGGAGTGTGGACCGGTGCAGACTTGGCCTTTTGGCACATGTTCTGCTAACACACCACATTGAAAACTATAAGGCTGCAAGTGATCTACCAACTTTACTCTGACTTGTATTTTGGCCCCTATAATTTAAAGCTATTTATGCTGTAATGGATCCACATTATGCTCACTCCATTTATTTACGTGCCCCTCATGAAGCTGTCCTAACCCTACAATACAGGACTTAAGTCATTTCTAGTGACATCTAACTGGATAGATCCATAAAAACACCTAGTGTCATCCATGGCAGCACTGGGACTCTCCCAATATATAATGGCTCCCACTCACTGGGCAGGGCACATGCTAAATCTGATCTTTGTGGCTGGAGTTATGGTAGACCAGATCTCTGCCACAGCGGTGCCATGGTCGGACCACTATGCCTTGAAGGCCCATGTGAATCTCCCACCCCAACTTGGTTTGGGCGGTGAGTGTATTTTTGCTCGTGCATGGAGCCAAATGGACCCCATGTGGCTTCAGGTGGCTCTGCAGGATCCTATGCCCCATGGTGGCTCTTTGGATGAGCTCATGGAGGACTGGCATAGCTGACTCTCCACAGCCATCGATGAGATCGCCCTCTGTGCCCTCGTGTCAGGCTGACTCCATGGTTTACCCCGGAGTTGCGGCTGATTAAGCGAAGGCTAAGATGACTAGAGCGACAGTGGTGGCGTGCCCACGACAAGGTGACAAGAATATCCTATAGGTCGTTTATTTTTTATTTAATGCTTTCAGTATTTGATCCCGTACTTGTCTTCTGGAGAATCTCGCTACAATCTCGCTGGGCAAATTATTTTTCCGTATATATTCAGAATACGATCTGTAAATCGTATCTATTTTGCTTATCAAGAAATCAGCTTTCAAATCTGTCACCGACTCCAACACTTCACAGATGATCTGTTTCAAATCTTCTCCTTTAGATTCTTGGACACCCTGGAATCTCAAGACATAACTTGATTTATCCATATGTATTTGCAAAATTTGAGTCTCTTCCATTATTCTTTCTTACATCACTTGGAATTGTTTATTCAGATTGGAGTTGAATTATGAAAAATCAAAGGTGTTAGTCATCCCCTATCCCCGAAAATCTCATAAGTGGATTATTAATGGCAACAAACTTGAACAGGTTAAGCACTTCAAATATCTGGGCATTTATTTCCAATCCAATGCTACTTGGTCCTACCATCGTAAAATGGCTATTAATGTAGCTAAAGTTAGTGCTGCAGCAATTTCTCGCTTCTATTTTTCTACTCGAGGTAACCAGTATGTGCCAGCTGCACTTAAAGCCTTCAATGCTAAAACTGGAGCTCAGTTACTGTATGGGGTACCTCTCTGGATTGACTCAATGGACATTTCAGTTGAACGAGTCCACTCTACCTTTCTGCGAAAGATCATGGGGGTACCTATGTGTGTTCCATATGCTGCTTTGTGTTTGGAGTGCAGTCAGAACTTGCTGGCTACTAAAGCATGGATCCACACGATTAAATTTTGGTTACGAGTCCATTTTAACTCTGACCCCTTCAGTTATATGTACCAACTACTTTCGGAATCTGATAATTCCAGATGGCTATCTTACATCGAAGCCAAAATAAGTGCCCTGAATTTGTCCCCAGAATCCTTATATATGCTTTCTGAGTCTGAGGCCTTTTAAAAAATAAAATCTAGATTATTGGGATCAGAGCTACAAACTCTTTATAGCCTGGCTAACAGAACCTGTTCTCCCTTACATCTGGGGATTATTCCTAATGCAAATCTTCCAGCAGTATACCTCTACCAACTCATAGCTCCTAATTTGCGTAGAGCCATATCCTTGGCTAGATTTAATGTTCTTCCTTCAGCTATTTTATCTGGCAGATTCCAAGGGATTCCCTATCCTAGCAGGTGCTGTCCTTGTAGGAAGGATTGTGTTGAAACTGTTGCCCATGTTCTCTTCCAGTGCCCTCTCTATTTGGTGTCCCGTCGGGATCTTCTATATCCCATATTAGGCCATTTTTTAGAGTCCCCTGATGATTTTAAGCTTCTTTTCTTGCTCGATAACACAGACACAGAAATAACTGAAATAACAGCAAAGTTTCTCTGCAGTGCCATGGCCCTACGGCCTGATAAATGATATGATGAATTAGGTTTTTCTGTATGGCGATACTCTGTGATGTTACTCGGCAATTTTAATTTGACTCTGTGTGTATTCAGATTACTGTATTTTTATTTATATGCCAATAAAAGGCTTTGGATGGATGGGAATTGTTTATTAATTTTTTGCATATTGGCATCAACTTGTTTCACTTCTTGTTCCACTTTCTCTGTGTGTGTTTTTAATGGCTTCATTTATTTGGCTTTGTTGTAAGTTGAATTTGGCATGCAATGACGTCATTTGGTCCAGCAGAGGACGCAGGGCTTCATTCAACATGCTCTGCAATTCACTAGAATTGCCTTGTCTAGGCATAGCACTCGCTGGACTCGCACTTCCGGGAGGAAACTGCAGCTTTGTTTGCTTTTCTTTGTCCTCCCTTCTGGGAGGCACCATGTTTAGAGATTTGTTTACTTTTTGCCGCGAGTTACAAAAGTTCCAAGAATCTATACCAATGCTTGGTAAGTTCTCAAAAGTTCTCTGTTTTTGCCAAAATCGCTTTGTAATCCAGCCCCCTCTTGATCCGCTTATAAAAGGGTTATTTTTTAGTCCGCCCGAGGGAGGGTTCACCCCCCCCAGCAATATCCCGGGGGGTTCTCCACTTAAATATTTGTGTCTTCGTTTAACCAACACTCACAGTTCAACATAGCAAGCCTTTTATAGCTTAGAATCACTTGGTCACCAGACGCTTGATCCCGGTGTGCGCTCTTAGTACCATTGCGGTCACTCCGCGGTGGGACCGTCGGGGCAGGAGAAGCCCCCCTTTACTAGCCAGTTCGCTGGGGGAAGAGCTCTCAAAAGCCTCATGGCTGGGAGCCCAACACAAGGGCTCCAGTGGGGGTCACGGACAATCGGACCCCTTCCCAGGCGCAGGCGCTGGCGGGAGTCTCCTGGAGGTCCAGGAGAAACCAACCGCCATAGCTGACGCCAAAACCGGAAGCCAAATGTTCCCTGTAGGTCGTTTATGAGGACCTATGAGATGGCAGTCAAGGCCGCAAAGAGAGAGTATTATGCGACTACAATTGCATCTGCGAGCTCACGCCCAGCCCAATAGTTTAGAATGATTTGGTCCTTAACTACCCTGCTTCAGAGCAGACCAAACACTAGGGAATTGGATATAGGCTGTAAGGCTTTTGCGAGCTTTTTCACAGATAAAATCCTGTCGCTCCGCCGTGACCTCCCCACCACAGGTGAGACAGTGAGTGAACTCGAGGTTCCATGCACATCTTCTAGTCTGGTTATAGATCGGGTTCAGCCAGCTCAGCCTAGAAGAAGTTGACAGAATACTCATAACCGGCAGCCTTGACCTGTGCCCATCATGGTTAATTAAAGCCAGCTGTGATGAGTTACGAGGTTTCCTATGGGAGACTGTCAACAAGTCCCTTTCTGAAGGAACATTCCCGAGGGCTCTTAAGGAAGTGGTGCTGCCCTCTCTTAAAGAAACCATCCTTGCATCCGGCAGAATTGGCAAACTACCAGCCGGTGTCCACCTTGCCCAATCTGGGCAAGATAATTGAGAGGGCAGTGGAGATCGGGTTCAGCCAGCTCAGCCTAGAAGAAGTTGACAGAATACTCATAACCGGCAGCCTTGACCTGTGCCCATCATGGTTAATTAAAGCCAGCTGTGATGAGTTACGAGGTTTCCTATGGGAGACTGTCGACAAGTCCCTTTCTGAAGGAACATTCCCGAGGGCTCTTAAGGAAGTGGTGCTGCCCTCTCTTAAAGAAACCATCCTTGCATCCGGCAGAATTGGCAAACTACCAGCCGGTGTCCACCTTGCCCAATCTGGGCAAGATAATTGAGAGGGCAGTGGCAAGTCAGTTACAGGGTTTTCTGGATGACACTTCCATACTAGATCCCTTCCAGTCTGGCTTTCACCCAGGCCATGGAACAGAGACGGCACTGGTCACCCTCACGGATGATCTCCGGAGGCATCTGGATCAGGGTGGGATGGCGGTACTGTTGTTATTAGACCTGTCAGCTGCGTGCGACACAGTCGACCATCAGTTACTGATCCACCACCTTGCCAACACTGGAGTTCAGGGACTCACCTTACAATGGCATGCCTCCTTCCTCCAGGGTCGGGGACAAAGCATGGCACTTGGGGAAGAGCTGTCCCAAAGGCATCCACTTGACTTGCAGAGTGCCTCAAGGGTCCTATCCCCTGATGTTATTTAACATCTACGTGCGCCCCCTTGCCCAGATTGCTCGGAGCTATGGTCTGGGTTGTCACCAGTATGCTTATGACACCCAGCTATATCTGTGGTTGGGCGGCCAGTCAGACTCCAGGCCAGAAGATCTGGACCTGGCGTTACAAACTGTGGCTGGATGGCTTAGGCTGAGCCTGGTGAAACTGAATCTGACGAAGATGGAGGTTCTGGGCCTAAGTTGTGGCAGTCGGGGGTTAAGGATCCCACTCTCAACCTTCAATGGGGTCCCATTGGTGCCAGCGCCGGAGGTTCGGAGTTTGGGAGTGCTCCCTGACACATCCTTAACGATGGAGGCCCAGGTAGCAGCCACTGACAAGTCAGCCTTTTATCATCTTCGGCTGATCAGGCAGCTGGTTCCCTTCTTTGAACGTCTTGACTTGGCAACAGTAATCCACGCAATGGTCACCTTGAGATTAGACTACTGTAATGCTCTCTACGTGGGGCTGCCCTTGTCCCAAATTTGGAAGCTGCAGCTGGTGCAGAATGCAGTGGCCAGGCTGTTGCTGGGTCTCTTCTTCATGAGAACACATTCAGCCTGCACTGAAAGCATTGCACTGGCTGCCAATAGCATACTGGATTTGCTTCAAGGTGCTGGTTCTT